CATTTGGTACATTGCCCTTCTCTTCACCCAAATCAATATTTATCAGTAGTAATGTTTTGATGCATGCTGATCGTATGTAACTCTATTTTAACCTTCTGGGACCACTGATGTTTATGCAGTCAGATGTTACTCCCATGAACTTTATGTGGTGTGTGACTGTCCTTAACAATTGACTGGGCAATGCTGACCATTCAGAATGGATGTGAGGGAGCTGGGTCTGAGAATTCCCTGTTGTACTGGGTGTTCCTCCTTAAGTTACCCCATCATGGGGACATCTGAGGACCTTGGGGCAGGTTGTGGCCCTCAGCAGGCTGAGAGAGGTTCAATTAGGTTTGAACTGGGTGAAATTGCCAATATTCAAGCAATTGCCAAAAGTAGCAATTTCATGTATTTCAACCTAATATTTCAATAGATTGACAATCACGTGGCCATTCCATGTATCTCTGCTGAACATCACCCCCTCGAGGTCAGCCCAATCATTAATCATCTACCCCTGCACTTCCTCCTCAATACACACCCTTCTCTTCCCTCCCTCCAGCTGTTCGCTGTCCATCCCCTGTTACCTTTGAGAATGGCATGTACACCCCACGCCTGGGATCCCACCCCGTGGGTGGCAACCTCACCTTTGAGTGTGAGGACGGCTTCACACTGCGGGGTTCGCCTGTGCGGCAGTGTCGCCCCAACGGAATGTGGGATGGAGAGACGGCTGTGTGTGACAGTGGTGGTGAGTACTCTGGCTGAGGGTCTGCACTGGAGATGGGGTTAGACAGGTGGCCTGGTGTTCCCAGTATGCCCAGTAATATTCCTGAGTTTTGCTAAATGGAGGTCTACAGGTCACACAAGCATTGGTCTGCAATTTGTGATATGCTTCAAGTTTAACACAAAGGCTCCAAACACTCTGTCCAGCTCTTCTTAATACTGTAAAGCAAGACTTGGTATCCATGCCCCATGGATTATTCTGTTGTTGCTATTAGGTGCCATTGAGTCATCTCTGACTCAAAGCGACCCTATGTACAGCCTAGGGAAACAATGCCCTGTTCTGTGCCAGCTCCACGACCCTTACTGTACCTGAGCCCATTGTTGTAGCCACTGTGTCAATCCATCTTGTTGAGGGCCTTCCCCTTTTTACTGACCCTCTGCTTTACCAAGCATGATATCCTTCTCCACAGAATGGTCCCTTCTTCTTTTTATTTTTT